ACACACACACAACACACACACACACACACACACACACACAAAAGGCACTCAAACAACAACAGAACCACTGGATCCAAACAAGGCTGGTCGTTAATGGTAAAGCTTACTCCTGGCAGACAAGTAAGGCGCAGCTTGCAAGATATATATATATAATATATATATATATATATATATATATATATATATATATATATATAAGATAAATGCAGTGGATTTGGCGTTGGCCTGAAAACTATTCACTTGTATAATATAAATGATCGATTCAATAATCTGAGTACTTTAAATTGCTGTTAAACATCAGTATTAAATGCCTGTGTTAAGCCTAGCAAATCTGTCAACATTCTCCCAAAAAATCTATAATATTACCAAAATATTATAAACAAAAATAGGAGTCGAATTATCAATGAATCTTACAATTATGTGGGTTTATATAAATACCTGGAGCCAAGCCGCCCTACCTGGCGTCAGGCGTCGGCCTACCTGGCGTCAGGCGTCGGCCTACCTGGCGCCAGACGTCAGCCTACCTGGCGTCAGACCTACGGCAGGTATCGTGGGCGTAATACCTACAATAAGATCTACCTGCCTGCTACGAGCACCGCGCGGCTCGTAGATTACTCTGGTAACTACTATGGGCAACCCGCGGCACGTAGATTGCTGGCGTAACTACTCTGTAATTCACAACACTCCCAGATGACGTAGCCTCCTGGCCTGAGGGAGGGAGAGAGAGAGAGAGAGGGAAGTGAGGAGATAGAGAGAGTCCGTGAGGGCGGGTCTTCCGGGACGTGAGAGAGCGGGAGTGAATGACCAGCGGACAGTTAAGGTAAGCCACCGTTCACCTCAACAACGCAGCCTTCCCTGCCCAATTGTTCCTTCACCAACTGTTGCTGCTGCTTATGTAACTCCTCTTTCTCCTCCTGTTGTTAGTGATGCTCTGCCCCTTCTCCTGTTGCTGCTCTTCCTTCTCCTGTTGCTGCTCTTCCTTCATCTGTTGCTGCTCTTCCTTCTCCTGTTGCTGCTCTTCCTTCATCTGTTGCTGCTCTTCCTTCATCTGTTGCTGCTCTTCCTTCATCTGTTGCTGCTCTTCCTTCTCCTGTTGCTGCTCTTCCTTCATCTGTTGCTGCTCTTCCTTCTCCTGTTGCTGCTCTTCCTTCATCTGTTGCTGCTCTTCTTTCATCTGTTGCTGCTCTTCCTTCATCTGTTGCTGCTCTTCCTTCTTCTGTTGCTGCTCTTCCTTCATCTGTTGCTGCTCTTCCTTCATCTGTTGCTGCTCTTCCTTCATCTGTTGCTGATCTTCCTTCATCTGTTGCTGATCTTCCTTCATCTGTTGCTGATCTTCCTTCATCTGTTGCTGCTCTTCCTTCATCTGTTGCTGCTCTTCCTTCTTCTGTTGCTGCTCTTCCTTCTTCTGTTGCTGCTCTTCCTTCTCCTGTTGCTGCTCTTCCTTCTCCTGTTGCTGCTCTTCCTTCTCCTGTTGCTGCTCTTCCTTCTTCTGTTGCTGCTCTTCCTTCTCCTGTTGCTGCTCTTCCTTCTCCTGTTGCTGCTCTTCCTTCTCCTGTTGCTGCTCTTCCTTCTCCTGTTGCTGCTCTTCCTTCATCTGTTGCTGCTCTTCCTTCATCTGTTGCTGCTCTTCCTTCATCTGTTGCTGCTCTTCCTTCATCTGTTGCTGCTCTTCCTTCATCTGTTGCTGCTCTTCCTTCATCTGTTGCTGATCTTCCTTCTTCTGTTGCTGCTCTTCCTTCATCTGTTGCTGCTCTTCCTTCATCTGTTGCTGATCTTCCTTCTTCTGTTGCTGCTCTTCCTTCATCTGTTGCTGCTCTTCCTTCATCTGTTGCTGCTCTTCCTTCTTCTGTTGCTGCTCTTCCTTCTCCTGTTGCTGCTCTTCCTTCTCCTGTTGCTGCTCTTCCTTCTCCTGTTGCTGCTCTTCCTTCTCCTGTTGCTGCTCTTCCTTCTCCTGTTGCTGCTCTTCCTTCTTCTGTTGCTGCTCTTCCTTCTTCTGTTGCTGCTCTTCCTTCTCCTGTTGCTGCTCTTCCTTCTTCTGTTGCTGCTCTTCCTTCTCCTGTTGCTGCTCTTCCTTCTCCTGTTGCTGCTCTTCCTTCTCCTGTTGCTGCTCTTCCTTCTCCTGTTGCTGCTCTTCCTTCTTCTGTTGCTGCTCTTCCTTCTTCTGTTGCTGCTCTTCCTTCTCCTGTTGCTGCTCTTCCTTCTCCTGTTGCTGCTCTTCCTTCTCCTGTTGCTGCTCTTCCTTCATCTGTTGCTGCTCTTCCTTCTCCTGTTGCTGCTCTTCCTTCTCCTGTTGCTGCTCTTCCTTCTGTTGCTGCTCTTCCTTCTCCTGTTGCTGCTCTTCCTTCTCCTGTTGCTATTGATCCTGTTCTGTTATTTTTGTTTTGGTCCTGGGCTCATTCCCATCAACCTCTGGAGGGTTATTAAGGGAGCGTCTGGTTGGCATCTGGGTCCAAAAATGCAAAAATGAAAACTCATTCGATTTCAATCAAACTTTTTTGACAAGTTCTATATGAAAAGTGTTTCATCTGGTCCAAGTTTCAGCATTGTAGCATAAATAGGAAGGGAGAAAAAAAATATTGAAGTAGTTGTGAAAATTATGCAAAAATGGTCAAAATTGATTATCAATCAAAAGTGTCAACTGAAATGATAACTACGACTCTTTGCTATCACAATAGCATATATTAAACAAATATAATTAGTTTAATTGGAAAAAAAATTTAAGGAAAAAAAAAAGGATTTTTTTTTCTTTTTTTTTTTTTAATATTTTTTTTTCCTTTTTTTTTTGGGCGATTTGCATCAAACTTACACACCTGACTGTACGTAAGCCTATCTGTAAGGACGCCAATTTTGGAGAAAATTGGTTGATGTCATCCCCAGCCACAGATTTTAGAACCTTAGACTTTATTCATTTCTGTTTTTTTTTCAATTGACACAAACGTTTACAAAACCGATTCCTTTTTTATTCAACTTACATGAAACTTACACAGTATATGCGGAGGGCATGTCTCTACATTGGGGGGCTTTCATTTTTCTCTAAGCTCATTTATTGATTTTATAATAGCAATAAACATGCCATATTTGCAAAAAAAATTTGGGGGAACTTTGAACATTTGTATTAGGAAAACTAAAGATGTTTTGGAAATTCAAAATCCCCAAATCCTTTATTATATGCTAATGTGTCAGAAAAGTGTCACAGAATAATTTTATCTGAAACGTGTGTTCTGAAGTGTGGACTTGAAAATGTGTAAAAAACGTTGAAAAAAAAAAAACTCCCTTTCTATTTACGCTGCAGTACTGAAACTTGGGACAATTTAAGCACTTTTCATATACAACTAGAAAAATAATATTGGTTGACATTGAACAACTTTCATTATAATAACCAGACGGCCCCTTAAGGCCCATCAACCACTGGAGGGTTATTAAGGCCCATCAACCACTGGAGGGTTATTAAGGCCCATCAACCACTGGAGGGTTATTAAGGCCCATCAACCACTGGAGGGTTATTAAGGCCCATCAACCACTGGAGGGTTATTAAGGCCCATCAACCACTGGAGGGTTATTAAGGCCCATCAACCACTGGAGGGTTATTAAGGCCCATCAACCACTGGAGGGTTATTAAGGCCCATCAACCACTGGAGGGTTATTAAGGCCCATCAACCACTGGAGGGTTATTAAGGCCCATCAACCACTGGAGGGTTATTAAGGCCCATCAACCACTGGAGGGTTATTAAGGCCCATCAACCACTGGAGGGTTATTAAGGCCCATCAACCACTGGAGGGTTATTAAGGCCCATCAACCACTGGAGGGTTATTAAGGCCCATCAACCTCTGGAGGGTTATTAAGGCCCATCAACCTCTGGAGGGTTATTAAGGCCCATCAACCACTGGAGGGTTATTAAGGCCATCAACCTCTGGAGGGTTATTAAGGCCCATCAACCTCTGGAGGGTTATTAAGGCCCATCAACCTCTGGAGGGTTATTAAGGCCCATCAACCTCTGGAGGGTTATTAAGGCCTATCAACCTCTGGAGGGTTATTAAGGCCCATCAACCTCTGGAGGGTTATTAAGGCCCATCAACCTCTGGAGGGTTATTAAGGCCCATCAACCTCTGGAGGGTTATTAAGGCCCATCAACCTCTGGAGGGTTATTAAGGCCCATCAACCACTGGAGGGTTATTAAGGCCCATCAACCTCTGGAGGGTTATTAAGGCCCATCAACCTCTGGAGGGTTATTAAGGCCCATCAACCTCTGGAGGGTTATTAAGGCCCATCAACCTCTGGAGGGTTATTAAGGCCCATCAACCTCTGGAGGGTTATTAAGGCCCATCAACCTCTGGAGGGTTATTAAGGCCTATCAACCTCTGGAGGGTTATTAAGGCCCATCAACCTCTGGAGGGTTATTAAGGCCTATCAACCTCTGGAGGGTTATTAAGCCCTACCAACCTCTGGAGGGTTATTAAGCCCAATCAACCTCTGGAGGGTTATTAAGGCCCATCAACCACTGGAGGGTTATTAAGGCCCATCAACCCCTGGAGGGTTATTAAGGCCCATCAACCCCTGGAGGGTTATTAAGGCCCATCAACCCCTGGAGGGTTATTAAGGCCCATCAACCTCTGGAGGGTTATTAAGGCCCATCAACATCTGGAGGGTTATTAAGGTCCATCAACCTCTGGAGGGTTATTAAGGCCCTACCAACCTCTGGAGGGTTATTAAGCCCTACCAACCTCTGGAGGGTTATTAAGCCCTACCAACCTCTGGAGGGTTATTAAGCCCTACCAACCTCTGGAGGGTTATTAAGCCCTACCAACCTCTGGAGGGTTATTAAGCCCTACCAACCTCTGGAGGATTAAGGCCCATCAACCTCAGTCAGAGAGATGAGGGGACACAAGAGCCAGAGCTCAACCACAGTCCACCTGACGCATACCCAAGTAAACCTAAGTAAACTTCACACTACCCCCCCCCCCCCACACAAACAAAATACCACACGCCATCACAACAAAAATCCCAAATGTTTGAGGTAAACTCGGGCGGGCCCGCCGCTGCTGCCGGCCAGCGTTTAGCGACGGGATAATTACCCCGCGGCCTTAATCACCACCAACCTCTCTTGTGGGCCCTTCTACACGGTCGTTAAGGTCCTGTCCGGGGACCTCCACTCTTTGGGGGGAGGGGGGGGAGGGGTGAGGAAGGGGGAGGGAGGGGAAGGGGTGGGGGAGGGAGGGGAAGGGGGAGGAGGGGGGAGGAGGGGGGAGGAAGGGGGGAGGAGGGGGGAGGAAGGGGGAGAAAAGGGGGGGAAGGGGAGTAAATATGGGGGGAAAGGTAAAGGGAAGCGCCCCCCCTCCCCCTCCCATCACTGTCAACAACCCACACTCTTAAGAGTGACTTGACAAATTCCACGCTGCTGTGATTGGTAAAGGGGGAGGGGAGGTGGAGGAGATTGGTAGGGGGAGGGGGGGGGGTGTTCGTAGAAGAGAGGGGAGGGTGGGGGGAGGGAGTTCGATTGGTGAAGAGGGTGGAGAGGTTGATTGGTGAAACGTGGACGTTGATTAGTAAAGGGATTAGGAAGGGGACAGAAGAGTAAGGGGGAAGTAGGAAATATTCACACATAAAGAGGAAGTAGTGTGCAAAATGGGGAATCAAATGAACATCACTGGGGTGGGTTACCCCCCCCCCCCCCCCCCCTTCCCGCCAGAAGGAATGGGTCACAAGTCAAGCCTGGCCTCGGGCCGGGCTTGGGGAGTAGAAGAACTCCCAGAACCCCATCAACCAGGTACCCAGCAGGTATCAACCAGGGGAATGTAAGGAGGGTGGGGGAAGGAACAGAGATTGAAGGGGGGAGAAAGCCCCCAAGAATCATTTCTGTGTTCCGTCAATTTAGCCCAATCGCTTCCTCTTTTTAAATCGTGGAGGAAAGGCATGTCAGATTACAGTTAAATCTGTAATGGAGCGTGATACAGCACCCACACTGACACGTACAGGAGGAGGAGGAAGTCTTGGTTCCAGGGAGCTCTTGGTGCCAGCGGATGGCATGAAGGGAGCCCACAGGAAGCTAAACGGAAATTACGAAAAATTATACACGTGATAAAATTAGAAATCAACACTGAACTGTAAAATTATATTCGTCCATTGCATCAAATGCAATTCAATGTTGATTTTGAGCAAATAACATGCAAGAGTTCACTCAAAATGATTTACATCAATTACAACATGGAAAATTGTAGGGTGGCCAGTTAGGCATGATGAAATATAGGCCTAGGGGCCACCCTTAAGGGCCAAACAGGCCTTTCAACGCACAACTGTCTAACACGAACTATTTATATTAATCTAAAAAAATAATTATATTTATAATAGATATATTGTTCAGATGTAGGCTGTAGGCTCGCACCATTCCATTCACCAGCGCTACACACACAGCCTACCTGTCCCAACCCCCACACGGAGTACCTCAACATACACACAACATACACACAACATACACACAACATACACACAACATTCACACAACATATGTGTATGTTGATACATACCAAGATAATGATACTCAAGATAACCTCAAGATAACATACACACAACATACACACAACATACACACAACATACACACAACATACACACAACATACACACAACATACAACATACACACAACATACACACAACATACACACAACATACAACATACACACAACATACACACAACATACATACAACATACCTCAACCCCTCACATACACTGACTATGTCACCTAAATAATCTGCCAGCCTGGATCAATAGAGCAGAATACTGGGACTCGTGATCAATAGAGCAGAATACTGGGACTCATGATCAATAGAGCAGAATACTGGGACTCATGATCAATAGAGCAGAATACTGGGATTCATGATCAATAGAGCAGAATACTGGGACTCATGATCAATAGAGCAGAATACTGGGACTCATGATCAATAGAGCAGAATACTGGGACTCATGATCAATAGAGCAGAATACTGGGACTCATGATCAATAGAGCAGAATACTGGGACTCGTGATCAATAGAGCAGAATACTGGGACTCATGATCAATAGAGCAGAATACTGGGACTCATGATCAATAGAGCAGAATACTGGGATTCATGATCAATAGAGCAGAATACTGGGACTCATGATCAATAGAGCAGAATACTGGGACTCATGATCAATAGAGCAGAATACTGGGACTCATGATCAATAGAGCAGAATACTGGGACTCGTGATCAATAGAGCAGAATACTGGGACTCGTGATCAATAGAGCAGAATACTGGGACTCGTGATCAATAGAGCAGAATACTGGGACTCGTGATCAATAGAGCAGAATACTGGGACTCATGATCAATAGAGCAGAATACTGGGACTCATGATCAATAGAGCAGAATACTGGGACTCATGATCAATAGAGCAGAATACTGGGACTCATGATCAATAGAGCAGAATACTGGGACTCATGATCAATAGAGCAGAATACTGGGACTCATGATCAATAGAGCAGAATACTGGGACTCGTGATCAATAGAGCAGAATACTGGGACTCATGATCAATAGAGCAGAATACTGGGACTCGTGATCAATAGAGCAGGGATACATATTCGCAGTCCCAGTGGCGTTGTGATAAGACACTCGCCCGGCGCTTCGCAACCGATATGGCCTGGGTTCGTATCCTGGCCAGGGAGGATTGACTGGGCGCTAATCCTTAACTGTAGCCTCTGTTCACCCAGCAGTGAATGGGGATCTTGTTGTTAAATGATTTGGCGGGTCGTATTACCTTGAGGTTACCTTGAGGTGCTTCCGGGGCTTAGCGTCCCCGCGGCCCGGTCGTCGACCAGGCCTCCTTATAGGGAAAAATTTGGATTAGAATCTGCCCGAAACGGTATGTGTGCTGGACACCCCACAGCTGGTGGCCCAAGATGAGACACCCCCACCGTGTCCCCTACACAACCCCCCCTCCCCCCAGCTCCTAGGACATATCAACAGGTAGACCTCCCACCACGGCCCCACCACCCCCCACCCTCTCAACCCCCACCACTCCTGGCGAAGATTGGTGCATACAATGCTCCTTATCCCTACCCCACACCCCCTCCCTTCCCCACACCCCCCTCCCTTCCCCACACCCCCTCCCCCTCCCTTACTGCTAGGGAGCTGCTGCTGCCTCAGGAGGACGGGGACGGTGTTGTTGTTATTGTTGTTGGTTGTGATATTGTTATTGATACTACTCCTGCTGCTGTTGTTGCTTTTTGTTATTGTTGATGTTAATCAACAGGAGGAGAGCTAATCACAGAGTGATCAGGAGTCAGCTCACCAGTTTCATGGAGACCAATGACCTCCACAACCCAGGCCAACATGGATTTAGAGCGGGAAGATCGTGCCTCTCACAGCTACTTGACCACTACTACAAAGTCACTGAGGCATTAGAAGAAAAACAGAATGCAGATGTTGTATACACGGACTTTGCAAAGGCATTCGACAAATGTGACCATGGAGTGATAGCTCACACAATGAGGTCAAATAGAAATGAATGGTAAAGTAGGACGCTGGATACTCAGTTTTCTGTTGAACAGAACACAAAGAGTTACAGTCAACCATATAAAATCGAGTCCAAGCGCAGTAAAAAGCTCTGTACCTCAAGGTACAGTCCTTGAACCACTGCTGTTTCTTATTCTCATATCACATATAGACTCAAATACAAGTCACAGCTTTGTGTCATCCTTTGAAGATGACACAAAAATCAGCATGAAAATTATCTTTGCTGAAGTTATTGAAAAACTACAAGCAGATATTAATAAAGTTTTCGACTGGGCAGCAGAAAATAACATGTTGTTTAACAGTGATAAATTCCAGGTACTCAGGTACGGTAAAAATGAGTACCTTAAACATAATACAGAGTACAAAACACAATCAAATGTACCCATAGTAGGAAAGCAAAATGTAAAGAATTTGGGAATAATAATGTCTGACGACCTAACGTTTAGGGAGCATAACGAAGCAAATATTGCATCAGCTAGAAAAATGATATGATGGATTGCGAGAACTTTCAAATCCAGGGATCCCATCACAATGGTTGTACTCTTCAAGTCACTTGTGTTGTCCCGTCTTGAGTACTGCTTAGTACTCACTTTCCCTTCAGAGCAGGAGAGATTGCTGAAATAGAGGGAATACAGAGAACATACACGGCACGCATAGACGAGATAAAGCACCTAAATTATTGGGATCGTCTCAAAGCTCTCCAAATGTACTCACTAGAAAGAAGACGAGAGAGATACCAAATAATATACACGTGGAAAATACTGGAGGGACAGGTCCCAAATCTACACAGTAAAATAACAACGTACTGGAGTGAACGATATGGAAGAAAATGCAGAATAGAACCAGTGAAGAGCAGAGGTGCCATAGGCACAATCAGAGAACATTGTATAAACATCAGAGGTCCGCGGTTGTTCAACGTCCTCCCAGCGAGCATAAGAAATATTGCAGGAACAACCGTGGACATCTTCAAGAGGAAATTAGATAGTTTTCTCCAATGAATACCGGACCAACCAGGCTGTTGCGGGTATGTGGGCCGCTCCAAGCAACAGCCTGGTGGACCAAACTCTCACAAGTCTGGCCTCGGGCCGGGCTTGGGAGTAGAAGAACTCCCAGAACCCCATCAACCAGGTATGAAGCAGGTTATTATTGTTGGTGTGATCTAGTCTATCCAATATATACTAGCCAGATATTTTGTATGTGGCGATCACGTCTCCGCTAACTCTGGCATTAGAGGCTCTGCTAAACTGGTCGTTTTCAGAGACCAAACTATCAACAAATAACTCCTTACACACCGCTGACGGAACACCGCTACACACCGCTGACGGAACACCGCTGACGGAACACCGCTGACGGAACACCGCTGACGGAACACCGCTACACACCGCTGACGGAACACCGCTACACACCGCTGACGGAACACCGCTACACACCGCTGACGGAACACCGCTACACACCGCTGACGGAACACCGCTGACGGAACACCGCTACACACCGCTGACTCCCGCTGGCAAGTCGTTGACCGCAGTCACCGCAACACTTGACCGCACTCACCACAACACTTAACAACAACTACAACAATTCCGACAATTACAGTGGCTCCGTTTGCATGGGCCGACATTCATGTTATGGTAGGCCTATCCTTATGTTGCATGGGGAGGGGATAGGGGGGGGGAGGTCTGTGTGTGCCCAAACGCTTCTCTTCAAGCGCACAAATAAGATGCCTCACGAACTCCTGAGGATTGAGACGAGTCCCAGGATATGTGTAGCATATCCTGGAGCAGTGGTTAAGGCCATGTGCTTGGGGGGTACTCGGTGGCCAGGTTCGAATCCTTTGCATGGCTCCTAACGACTTTCTCGATAATAATAATAATAAGTGAAAAAGGAGGGAGAGGGAGGGGAGGGAGAGGGAGGGGAGGGAGGGGGAGAGGAAGCAGAGGGAGGGGGAGAGGAAGCAGAGGGAGGGGAGAGGGAGGGGGAGGGGGAGGGGGAGGGGAGAGGGAGGGGAGAGGGAGGGGGAGGGGAGAGGGAGGGGAGAGGGAGGGGAGGGGGAGGGGAGAGGGAGGGGGAGAGGGAGGGGGAGAGGCAGCCAATGCCGCGCATGAGAGCTTGAGAAAAGAGGACGAATTAAGAGGACAACAACGTCAAGAAATGGTTGCAGTAACGTGTGTGGTTGACGATGCAACATTGCTCAATTACCCCCCCCCCCACCTCCCCCTCTTCCCCAACTTAAAAGTTCATCCCAATCTCCCCTTTGCTCTTTCTCTACCCACCCCCTATGTGCCTACCAAACTTCCACTACCCTTCTTTAGATTCCTCTTCCCCTACCTTGAGGTTACCTTAAGGTTACCTTGAAACGCTTCCGAAGATCAATATCCCCCCCCCCCCCGGCCCAGTCCCAGACTAGGCCACCTGGCTGATCAAGGTCTGGTCAACAAGGCTGTTAGACCTTGCTGGAAGCTGTCATTTACACACACACACACACACACACACACACACACACACACACACACACACACACACACACAGAGGCAGTACATTCACCCCACCTCATGTTTTATGACGTTCCACACAGCTGTGTAGGACACAACAGCCCCTAGAACAACAACACTCTTCCCAGCCACCTCTCCTCCTTCCTTACCCTTCACTACATCTCCCCCAACACCCCCCACACACACACACAGCCCTGCTCCTGTGCCAGGTAAGTCCACTACGGGCTCACCATAGCCCGTGCTACTTGCAACTGTGTGTTCCCAGTTGCTGAATCTTAAACCCCCCCCTCACCCCCACACAGCGTGCCACACACCAATTTCCTCACATTACAAAAACTTCACTGTGCTTCCGACTATCAAGTTCCAATGCTTCAACGACGAACTTTGATGAACTATTAAGTTTCACTTCGTGAAAAATACATTTAATGCCGCCATTTAGACCCAAAAGGCCTCCCCCCCCTTCCTCCCCCCCCCCCACACGCACGCGCACACACACACACATTGTTGATTGACGGTTGAGAGGCGGGACCAAAGAGCCAGATCTCAACCCCCGCAAGCACAACTAGGTGAGTACGTACACACACACACACACACACACACACACACACACACACACACACACACACAAGGTCCTTCAGACCTTGAGACAGACACCGTTCACTCCTTCCGTCACTCTCGTCAGAGCAACGGTGGTCAAGTCACTCACAGGATGAGTGACGCTGCCCCAATAAACTCGCCCCTCGGGGCAAAATTAAAAAATAAATAAAAAAAAAGTAAAATTCGCTCCTACATCAGAGGAAGAAAATCACCCTAAAGTGATATGTATCAACGATAAAATTAACTCTTGGTTGATATATAACCTTCTTGGTGTGATGTGTGTGTGGGTCCACTACAGCATGGTGGACCAAACTCTCACAAGTCGAGCCTGGCCTCGGGCCGGGCTTGGCGAGTAGAACAACTCCCAGAACCCCATCAACCAGGTATCAACCAGGTATCAACCAGGGAGGCGTCGAGGGTACAGAAGTATCCCAGGATGCAATCCTTGTGACCACGTCGTGGTCCAGTTGGCTAGGGCGTGTGTCTGAGAACACCCTCCGCATAGATTCGAACCCTCATTACAGCTCCTATACGGATTTCTTCACTGATGCAGTACGATAGTGTCATTACCTTTTGTGTAACACATTTATTACTATTATTATTATAATTCTCCTCCCTTCTCTTTCACTGCCCCTTCCTTTCTTGTTTACCTCTTCCTTCCCCGCCCTTTGGCCCTTCTCTCTTGAAGGTTCCTTCACCTCCTCCCCACCAGCTCCTCTCCGTCCTCACCTTTCATAAAACACCTCTGGGTGAGGGAGATGAGAGAGTACAGACATGGCCACTACAGCAAGGTGAGGGACTTGTGTGTCAAGTCCAGTGGGAGAGAGACAACTGCGAGAGAAGACATCAAAAGACATGATGGACTTCAAACCATGACACTGAGGTCACACTACTCAAGAACCTTGACGAGGACAGCAAACTCCTGCTTCACTACCGGGTTGATACATGGTTGATGGGGTTCTGAGAGTTCTTCTACTCCGCAAGCCCGGCCCGAGGCCAGGCTCGACTTGTGAGAGTTTGGTCCACTACGTCCACTAGACCATGTAGGGAAGTTAGGAGACCACTGAACAAAATAACGTCTGGAAAACTACAGAACACTGGGAACAGACGCCAACAGACACACACTAAAAGAGAACTAGAAATGAAGACACCCGGTGATGGAAGAGAAGCAGTGTCAATTTGGAAATAACATTGTGACAACTGCTAACTGTCACCCAAAGCTGTTTGGTTGTTATTACATAGTGAAGGACACTGTAATCAAGTTAAGGAGGCAAAAGGGTAATTTTCCCTTAAAACGATAATGAGTTACATGAAGAATTAACATAAGACTTCAGGTCTTTACAAAAGAACAAATATAGAGATCAATGTTGCAAGATGAAAGGCAGGAGGAAGCAATGGATGACACTGTCCCCACTCTATAACAGGTAAAGAAACAATTTACCCGGAGGAACTGGATGTGACACCATCAGTGGGTCCAGATCTAATCTCCCCATGGGCTACCTTGGAGTTTTTCCGGGGCTTAGCGTCCCAGCGGCCCGGTCGTCGACAGGCCTCTTCGTTGCTGGACTGGTTCAACCAAGCTGTTTGACCAGAGGCTGCCGAAGGAGGCTGCACAACTACTCTTTGTCACCCATCATATAAAAATCATCTCACAGAATACATATAAGAAAGGCAAACGTAGACCCCCAATATTCAAAAAAGGGGTCATATAGGAGGCACTACACTACAGACCAGTGGCACTGTCAAGTATTCCACGCTGGAGAAAGCCTGGCAAATTTGACTGAGTTCTGTGACATTTATTATTATTAACATCTTTATTGACAAAATTAATTACAATTTTGCCTAATCTGAGAATTTTGATAGTCTTATTAAATTGAGGTTAATGCTAGTATTCACTGTCACGCAGGACAGAGGGTCATACATAAGACAATAGGTCTAAACTGTAGGCTGAAGCACATATATATCACGGTTACAATCAATGTTTTAATGTGTGAATATGTGACAACAACTTTCTATTGTGCACTGCCACACAAGGGCAGGGATGGGTTCATAAGTGATGCAGCTTAGAGTATAAATAGAAATTGTTCTTCATTCTTTAAAATGGACAAGCAAATTTTGGGTAAATTGTTAGGATGTCGTCCAGAACACCTGAGTCAATAAAATAGTTACACAGTTGGTGGTACAATAGGCCAGGAGGTCTAAAGTCCTTTACGGTTTCACATTCATCAATATAGTGTTCTAGTGAGTGCATTAAAGGTTTATCACAGAGTTTACAATCTGAATATTCTGGTAGTGGCTCAGCCTCACTAACCTGCCAGATGTGTCTATAGCCAAGGCGAATTCGCGCAATTACTACATCACATTGTCTGGTCCGGTTACTGTGCTGACCATACAAATACCTATTATTACAGAACTTGTCATAACTTTTAATACTGCAGCTTTCAGGTCTCTGTGCATTTCTTAGTTCTTCTAAATCTGAATTAATTTCTTTAATTTGTATGTTTCTAATAACTGCATTAGATAGTCCAAAGTCATAATCAATGTTTTCTTTCCTGCAAGCCTCATTGGCCAATTGATCTACAAAGTCATGTTTTTCAACTCCAACATGGGATGGGATCCACACAAATTTTATACAAGAATTATTATCATTGGCAAAAATTACATTCCATTTAATATTACAAGCTACTTCCGACATACATTGTGATGGGTAAGGAAAAAGAAAAGACAGCATTTTCTTAGATTGTCAAGAAACATTTGACAGTGGTCCTCAGGAGAGACTGATGCAGGAGATGTGGGAGGCTGAGATAACTGGGTAAGGGAGTACCCGCAGGGCAGAAACCAGAGCCACAGTCAGAGAGGTTTCAAGATGGAGGAATGTAACAAGTGGGGTCCCACAAGACTCTATCCTGGGACCGCTGCTGTTTCTAATGTGTGTGACTAGTTTACCCGAGGAGTGAACTCGTACACATCAATGTTTACAGATGATGGACAACTGATGAGCAATAATACTGACGCCAGGGTCCCGGTAGTACAGTCGGCTTCGTTCTCGAATCGCATTCGAGAATTGTGGCTTCGAATCCCGGGCGGGACAGAAATGGTTGGGCGCATTTCCTATCACCTAATACACCTGTTCACCTAGCAGAAAGTAGGTGCTCAGAAGATAGTCTGTTTGTTGTGGGGGATGTGTGTGTGTGTGTACTCACCTAGTTGTACTCACCTAGTTGTGTCTGCAGGATCGAGCATTGACTCTTGGATCCCGCCTTTCGAGCATCGGTTGTTTACAGCAATGACTCCTGTCCCATTTCCCTATCATACCTGGTTTTAAAATTATGAATAGTATTTGCTTCCACAACCTGTTCCTGAAGTGCATTCCATTTCCCCACTACTCTCACGCTAAAAGAAAACTTCCTAACATCTCTGTGACTCATCTGAGTTTCAAGCTTCCATCCATGTCCTCTCGTTCTGTTACTATTCCGTGTGAACATTTCGTCTATGTCCACTCTGTCAATTCCTCTGAGTATCTTATACGTTCCTATCATGTCCCCCCTCTCCCTTCTTCTTTCTAGTGTCGTAAGGCACAGTTCCCTCAGGCGCTCTTCATACCCCATCCCTCGTAGCTCTGAGACGAGTCTCGTTGCAAACCTCTGAACCTTTTCCAGTTTCATTATATGCTTCTTCAGATGGGGACTCCATGATGAGGCGGCATACTCTAAGACTGGCCTTACGTAGGCAGTGTAAAGCGCCCTAAATGCCTCCTTACTTAGGTTTCTGAATGATGTTCTAACTTTTGCCAGTGTAGAGTACGCTGCTGTCGTTATCCTATTAATATGTGCCTCAGGAGATAGATTAGGTGTTACGTCCACCCCCAGGTCTCTTTCACGCGTCGTTACAGGTAGGCTGTTCTCCTTCATTGTGTACTGTCCCTTTGGTCTCCTATCTCCTAGTCCCATTTCCATAACTTTACATTTGCTCGTGTTGAATTCTAGTAGCCATTTCTCTGACCATCTCTGCAATCTGTTCAGGTCCTCTTGGAGGATCCTGCAATCCTCATCTGTCACAACTCTTCTCATCAACTTTGCATCATCCGCAAACATCGACATGTAGGACTCTACGCCTGTAAACATGTCGTTAACATATACAAGAAATAGAATTGGTCCCAGCACCGATCCTTGTGGTACTCCACTTGTTACTGTTCGCCAGTCCGACTTCTCGCCCCTTACCGTAACTCTTTGGCTCCTTCCTGTTAGGTAGTTCCTTATCCATTCTAGGACCTTTCCCCCCACCCCCGCCTGCCTCTCGAGCTTGAACAGCAGTCTCATGTGCGGTACTGTATCAAAGGCTTTTTGGCAGTCCAGAAATATGCAGTCTGCCCAACCATCTCTGTCCTGTCTTATCCTCGTATTTTATCATAGAATTCCAGAAGGTTTGTTAGGCACGCTTTCCCTGTCCAGAACCCATGTTGATGTTTGTTCACAAACCTAATGTTCTCCAGGTGTGCAACCAGTCGTAGCCTAATTATTCTTTCCAGTATTTTACAGGGGATGCTTGTCAGTGATACAGGTCTGTAGTTAAGTGCCTCCTCCCTATCTCCTTTCTTGAAGATCGGCACGACATTTGCCTTCTTCCAGCAACTGGCAATTCTCCTGACATAAGTGACTCATTAAAGATCATTGCCAGAGGCACGCTGAGGGCCTGTGCTGCTTCTTTTAGTATCCACGGTGATACTTTGTCTGGTCCAACTGCTTTAGTTGCATCTAGAGTTGTCAACTGTTTCATTACCTCCTCTGCTGTCACCTCTATATCTGATAGTCTTTCATCTAGGGTAACCCCTTCCAACAATGGGAGCTGCTCAGGCTCGGTAGTGAACACTCCATGGAAACTGGCATTCAGTGCCTCGCAGATTTCCTTGTCACTTTCAGTATATGCCCCCTCTGTCTTCCTTAGTCTTGTCACTTGGTCGTTCACCGACATTTTTCTTCTTATATGACTGTGTAGTAACTTAGGTTGTTTTTTCGCTTTGATTGCAATATCGTTCTCATAGTCCCTTTCCGATGTTCGTCTTATGTTAATGTAATCGTTCCTAGCTCTGTTGTATCTGCTTCTGTTGTCCTCTGTCTTTGTCTTCTGTACTTCCTCCACTCCCGCCTGCTGGCCATTTTTGCTTCCTGACACTGTCTATTAAACCATGGGTTATTATATTCCTTCTTATTTTTTCCCTTTACCGTTGGTATAAATCTCTATTCGGCCGCCTGGCATTTCTGTATGACTAGGTCCATCATATCTTGGACTGTTTTTCCTCTAATTTCTTCCTCCCACTGCACTTCATCCAGATAGTCCCTTATCCTCATATAGTCCCCTTTCCTGTAGTCAACTCTCCTTTCGCAGATCTCTTGTCCCATGGTCATAAGTTTGAATTCCATCATGTAGTCAAAGACTAGGACACAATGGTCACTGGCCCCTAGAGGTATTTCATGCTCTAAATTCTCGATATCTTCTACGTTCTGGGTGAAAATCAGGTCTAATAGGCTCGGTGCATCTCCTCCTCTTTCCCTTGTGTCTTCCTTCACATGTTGTGTCAGGAAATTCCTGTCTATAACATCTACTAATTTTGCTCCCCACGTTTCGTCCCCTCCATGGGGATTCCCTGATTCCCAATTTATCTCTCCATGATTTAGGTCCCCCATGATCAGCAGCTTCGCTCCGCTGCTGTGTGTTGTGTGTGTGTGTGTGTGTGTGTGTGTGTGTGTGTGTGTGTGTGTGTGTGTGTGTGTGTGTG